CAAATATAACAGAAACAGAATAGGTTAGACAAGTCGGACAGTTCCTCCGATAATACGTGAAAGCTCCCGGGGTCTGTTATTCGCCATGGGTTATCGCCGGACGCCTTTGTGCACATTGTGAAATTCGCGCGACTGTCGATACTTTTATACTCGCGGACTCGAATCGCGCTTCTCTGTTATCTCCAACGATATTGCGCACTCGCGCCGATACGGCAGTATCGATTTCCCGTCGTAATATGCATCGCGTCGCGTCGCGTCGCGTCGCGTCACCGCGCGATCCCATGCGTGCCATTAACGAATGGGAAAAGGACGAAAAATACAAAATGGGCGATCAGCCCGCGCGTCGCCGATACCGGCAATTTTCACGTCGTCAATTTCAACGTTTCGGAGAAGTCATTCTCCAATGATACGCGAGGTTGACACCTAACGTCCGTGCGAGAATCAAATCACGCGTCGTCGTCGACACTCCCCCGCGACCCCACTTTCATTAAGGTCTCTGTAATTAACGGCTTTAACGTTCGATGAAAGTCGCTTGTCTACCGCCCGCAAAGCGCACAAACGGCGTAAACAAATGTAATTTCCGGAGGAAGAGGCACGTCATACGAAAACAACGTTGCATCTCGTATGCTTGTTGCAGCGGAAACCCCCTTTCCTCCTCTCTCCTCTTTCTCCAATGGGATTACTCGATAAACATTCACTGGTATAAATATGGTGTAACATATTGGTGATTTAAAATTGGTATAAAAGATATAAAAAATATACAATTTTTATGCCGTATAATAGTATATATTTAAAAATTATAGTGAAAAAGCGTTTTTCAAACGCTACGTGACATAAATGTAACATGACGTACATTCGATAAACACAGATTGGTATAAAAAATATATTAAAACTCACGAAAAAGGTATTAAATAAACGTATATAAACATATCCGCGATTTTATAGATATCTATAAACTTATTTATAAACATATCCCACGAATTGGTATAAGAAACATTGGTATAAAAATCTATAGAATGTATAAAAACTTATACATACTCATACAACACATTTTATCCGAAGGATGTCTTGGGAACATCCTTAGGACGTTCTCTTATAGGATGTTCTCTGGATGTCTTTAGAACATCCTTTAGGGTCTATGTTGTATAAGTATTGTACGTGTAAAAAACATTAAATAAATATATATAATTTGTAGACATATACTCTTTTTTACACGTATAATATATAATATATATGTGTTTTTATATATTTCTTATACTTAATCCATGTATATTGGGATTAATTCACTAAATGGTATTTCTTCTCGTAGTTAAAAGACAACTTATTTTGTAACGTCTCCGATACATATTTAATTATGAATGTATGTGTTTTTGAAATCTTTTATATGTTATTCTTTTCATTAAAAATAATTATTAATAATCGAAATAAATAAGTAAAATTCAGAATAAAATAAACACGAATTGGTATACGAAATATATAAAAAAATAAAAATACATGTATTATATAGTGTAAAGACATAGTAAATATAAATGTATTTATAAATACGTATATAAAATGGATCGCAGACATGTCCGCGACATCCATATTATATACGTTTATCAAAAACATTTTTCATATTTATGATATGC